TAATAAATAATAATAATAATAATTTTTTTTTTGCATATATTATAAAGATAATGTCAAATAGTCAGTCGGTATGAATAATTGACATGAGTTAACAAATATCAAACAATTTTCTGTTCATTACGCTTATTAAATTATGTAAAAAATAATAATACGACCAATTAGCACGTAGCAATAAAGTTTTTTATCCAATTTTTTAAAAAAATTTGAACATAGCTTTCCTTTTTTTTCTTATTTCATTTCGATATGTGCAAAGTAAGTGGCAAATTGTTACTAAATGATTGCTAATTAGAAAAAAAATTAGAAATAATGATAGCATATGAGAATTAAAATTTTAAAAATACAGCAACCAATCGATGTTATTTTTATTAAACTGATAAACAGTTAATCCGCTATGCATTGAATTTCCACAATGACATAATTTGAATCCTAAAATTATTTCTATATAATGACAATACCTTGTTTTCATTGTATCAGTTGTTTTATAATGATGATAACAGTTAGTGGTAATTGGTTTGTAATGATGACGATGATGTTAATGATGATTAATGATGATAAGAACAAGTAAATAATGAACAATACATTGAAGATAGCTAATGGTAATTAATATAATGCATTATAAGCCATTTCTTTGACATATTTTTAATGCCTAATTTTTTAGCATGGCGCGTATGTTATGGAAAAGGAAGGATTGGTAAGTGCAGAGAGTTACCCATATAAGATGGGACAAAATCCATGCCAGGTCAAAGGTATGCGATTTGGAAAGCCTATTATCCCTCTGAGACTAGTCTACACTACACCAAAGTTGTTCAAAGCGCTGCTATCAAAGGGACCGGTTGCTGCAAGAATTTTGGTGACAACAAAATTTGCGGAATATAAAGGAGGTAGAAAAAAAAATTCAATTACATATGAAATTTGTCGTTAGACAAAGAAAAAGAAGAGAACAAAAATGAACAAATAAATGAATGAATTTGGAGAGAAAAAAGGAAAAAAAAGATGAATAAACGAGAGAGATTTTTAAGTAAAAGAAAGAATAATTAAACAAAATAATAAAATAAGTTCATAAATATGTATTTCATTCATTTGATTTTCACTTTCTAATCTGCAGGACTATTTCGTGATATAGCCAAAGAAAATGCTTTTTCACATACAGTACTAGCGGTTGGATATACAGATACTTATATTCTAATTAAAAATAGGTAAAGATTTTTTCTTATTCTTTTATTTTTTAACAAAATTTTAAACAATCTATTGTACGATCTAATTTTATTCATTGATTATTTCCGTGCCTTCTTCATTACCTCTCATATCTCTAATAAACATATTAATCAATTAAAAGTTTAAATTTCAATAAAGTTAATGATAAAGCTAAATTGTCAACCAAAGTGATGCGTTCACATTGCATTTTCAACTTGCCAGATTTATATTAATTGTGCATTATTTAATAATACCAAAATAATATATAAATCATTAATTTAATGGGCAGGTGTTTGATAAGCTTAATTTAAAGGTTTAATTAATTTAAAAACTCTTCAGAGCTTTGTAGACAAGTAACAGAAAGAAGAAATTAATAGCAGCATAAATGAATTAATCATTTTAAATATTATATGAATTTATAACAAAAATTAAAAACAGGAAAGCCTATAGCATTGAAACTATCCTATACTGTCCTTTTTTCAAAATATTTCGCAGTTTTTTTCTTACCAATGAAATAATTTAATTAATGAGTAGATTGATGATAATTAATTTTCAGTTGGGGTACGAATTGGGGCGAAAATGGTTATATGCGTATTTCGATTAATCCAAAAGAAAATTGCAATTTATATCTTGAAGCATTCGCTGTAATGTGAAAAAAGCGAATAATTTGGATATTCATTTTTATCATTAATTCAATTGTATTTCATCGGATATCGAATCGAAATTGATTGAAATAAATATAATAATTGTCACATTCAGTAGTGTTGACAAAATAGTGAAAATATATGAAATGTGATAGTAACAATCATAAATGATGAAAAAAAAAAATGCAACTAGTTTATCATTTACAGGATGTAATAAGAGAAAGAAAAACAAAATACCAACAAATAATTAATCAATTAAATTAGTACGCAGGAATTGCTAACGTAATATTAACAATTACTTGTTGACAAACAATTAAAGTTTAGAATTCGAAACCTATTAATTAATTATTAATTAATTATGTCAAGAAAGGATTTTGATTATCGCAGGTTTTATTCTTTTTTTGAAAAATTTCTAATCATGAAGATTAACTGATTACCACATAGCTTTGTGCAAGATCTTATCCTGATTACTTAATGAGTAATAAAATTAGTATATCAACTCATTGTGAACTTAATATATTAGAACTACTCGGACCACTTAATAAGTGATAGAATTAATACATTAGAATTTATTTTAAATAATTCATATTTATCATTCTCTCGTCAAATGCTAAACTCTGATATGTCATTATGGTATATTGATGAAATAAATTTCTCAGATAATTCAAGTTAACGTAAAATCACAATTTGAAATACGTTATGACGTATAATTGTAAAAGTTATGCAATCGATACTAAACATGTTCTGAGAATTAGACGTAATGACTAAGCAGTTAAGGTGAATAATATGCTAAGACGTATGGCCATATTTATAACTATATATTGGGCGGACAAAGAGTTAAAAACGTAAAAAGAATGAAAAATAAATTTTCAGGTATTACTAATGAAGTGGAAAAATTCTTTTTCTTGGTGTTGAATATATTTTTGATAGACATTGTACATTTTGAGGGAATAAAGGATAAATTATTAAAATTGAAATGATTAATGAAAAAAGAAACGAAACACTAATGATTTCTTCAATTGCATTTACAACTTCAGATTTTGAAAAAATCGACACAAAGTTTGCAATGATAATTCAAAGGCATTGGAAATAATTTACAACTTTAACAAAGGCATTATTTGCACTTTCAAGTGTTTGTATATTATTTATTCGAATTTTTCAGGATTATCTTTGAATTATTTTCTTTTTCATTTCGTTTTAAATTTCAAAGTTTTGTTTTAATTCTATTCTTTTCCTCAAACAAATATTTCTTTTCCTTCCTATTTGTTTTTTCTATTCAGGCTTATGTTACTGATACCATTCGATGGTTTTTAGCATAATTTGCACCGAAAATTTTATTTTCTCTTTTTCCGTCTCAAATTATCATTTTTCAATTTTAAATTTTAAGTTTTTTTAAAATATTATACCATTTGCCTATCTAAGGAATCATAAACTGTGTAGTAGGTATCACTGTAATCTTGATGGTGAACTCTTAACTGCTATAATATTCAAGATTAAACTTAAGGACAGTTTAAAATTTTGAGTTAAGCCCAAGGTCACATAGAGTACGTTTGATTTACTAGTGTGGATCAAGATTAAGCATATAAACTTACAGTTAGGTAATAACAGATGTCGGAGGTACACCTTAAATTTCACAATTTTTTATTGCTAACAATAACTGTTGGATAATTTGAAATCTTTTATGAATAAATTTTGTCTCCACTCTAAATTAAGCATTCTTTTTTTCGAGAGAATTTCATTACGATTTCTTTGGTTAACAACCGGTCAGTTGCTTAATTCCTCTTCAGATTGTTCATTTATGCATATGTGTGTATGTGTAGGTGCTGTCGGGAAAGCTAATCCGTTGAATTCGCTTTTCAGTATAGATTTATTCGAGATATAATATTGTTCTTGCAAAAAGGTGTAAAATATATATGTATATGTTACGTGGCGAATTGGTAAGTAATGATAGGTGAGTTATACAACAAGCAACCAATATGATCAATTAACAAATTCCTTATCGTTGCCTCGATTAATTGAATAGGTCATTGAGTTGGGGATATACTACGGGAAATGTATTTAGCGAATAGAAAGGATATCGTATTTTGCTGTTCAAATGTGGCGGATATGCGAAGAGGATGTTGCAATTTGCTTGACTATAAAAAACCAAACTGTTTCGGATTTCCCCATATATATATGTAAAAATTAGGGAGGAGTTTTGTAAGCTCCATCGGAGTTATTATGGAGATATGGCTGCCCTTTGGCATTGTCCATTGTATAGGTACAATGGATATCATTGTCCATGAAGTAGATACTGAGATGTCTTTGTGTTATGCTATCCATTGTTAGTTTATATTCTCTTCACTGACTTTAATTTTACTTGCAGGATTTCATCACCCTGTCAGTTGTTGTAGAAATTTTATTTGAACATAGCTTAAATTTCGGTAATCCGACAGGTGCATTTATTTGTATATCTTGTCCTATCAGGTGTCTTATCAGATGATAAGGTATACTGGAAACAACAGACCCAGCATTGCATCGTTTACGACATTGGCCGTTCAAGATTGACCACGAAGGTGACAGTCTTGCTCGACAATACCTTGCACGACCAAGCAGCCTTTTCCTAAGGAACCACTGCTTGCTCAACACGGGGAGGGGTCCAGAAAAAGTGGTCAAATCAGAGCTCATCTTCATTTTCCATCCGGTAGGCTAACCGCGGTCAAAAGACTATTTCCCGATACGGTCGAATAAAGACAAAAAGACAGAGACAAACACCTGTCTCAAAGTGTCTTGAGATTGAAGAGAGAAAACGAAGAAAAAAAAGAAAACGGCATTTACATCGGATATTATACCGAAGGAAGTCTATTCAACCTAAGGGATTGAAGGTCTACACTAAGACTTAAATCAACTTTTCTTCGAGTTGCTTTTCGCTGATAACGCCACCCTCGTTGCCCACACAAAAGCAGTTCTACGGCGTTTAAGATCCTGTTTTGCAGAAGCTGGTGAGCTTTTTAGGCTAGAAGTAAGGTTGAAGAAAGCAGTTCTTTATTAGCTTGCATCACAGGGTAACTACCTCATCCTCAAATCACCGTAAGTGAATAAGAGCTTAAGTCAGTCCAGCAGTTTAGCTATTTGGGAAGGATCATTTCTTCTGATGTCACGATCGACAAATAGATTGACAACAGGTTAGCAAAAGCATATCAGAGTTTTAAAAACTCCAATGAACATCTGAAAAGTGTCTGTAAAACTACTGTACTATCCGTCCTATTGCATGGTTCTTAAATCATGGGTCATCTACCCCATCATCTGGCGACTCCTCCAACGCTGTCATCAGCGCTGCCTTCCTACAATCCTAAACATTCACTAGTTTGACTACGTACGCAAGTTACTGTTCTTACACAGGCAAAAGTCGCCAGTAGTGATGCCACACTATTGAAGACGCAATTGCGCTGGGCTGGACACGTCGCCAGGATGGAAGATCTAAGCTAAGATTATGCTTTAAGGCGAATTGGTCACCAGCCTCCAC